GTTATTGAACAACTTAACACTTATACATTGATACATAGAGATCTCTTGCTTTATATTTTATACTGTTTAATCACCACCTTTGGCAAAGGGTCCATTAGGATACGCAGCACATCTCCCTCACTGCAGAGAATGGAAGACAAAGAATGGTGACAACGGCTTATGAAGATTAATGAATTAGTCGAAATGGACAAATTAACTAAATTGATGAAGTATACAAGAAGATTTAAAAGAAACGGAGATACAAAACATATAGTGAGGTTTTGTGTTTTTGTTTTTTTTTTGTCATGTCAGGAGTGACCTGAGAAACTGCAAGTCGCTTCTGGTGTGAGAGAATTGGCCGTCTGCAAGGACGTTGCCCAGGGGACGCCTGGATGATTTGATGTTTTATCATCCTTGTGGGAGGCTTCTCTCATGTCCCCTCATGAGGAGCTGGAGCTGATAGAGGGAGCTCATCCGCCTCTCTCCAGATTCGAACCTGCGACCTGTTGGTTTTCACAGGGGTTTAACCTGTCCATATAGTGACCAAGAGGCTTATAGACTAGAGTGTGTTGTCCGTTATTTTTGTTCTTATTGTGCAAGTTGTGTTTCCTTGATCACTTTATATTTGTTAAGTAGTACTTTAAAAATGTACCAAAATTATAATTTGCGTAAACGTGCTTCGTTTTGTTTTTCTTTTTTGTCTTTAAATAAATGCTTTTTTTAAAAAAAAATAAAGTGTGCTACATCCGCTTTAAAAAAAGCCAGTGGGGTTCTAGGCTGTCCCAATGGGAGGGTGAGGTCTAGATCCGGGTAAGTTTGAGCCCACTCTCTCCTAGACTTGGATCGGACCTCCCCTGGAATGACCCTGCGTCCAGTTCTGGGCAGTACAATTCAAGCACGATTTTGAGATGCTAGAATGTCTCCAGAGAAGGGCGATAGGGAATGGCTGAGGGAGCCGGGGATGTTTAGTTTGGAGGAGGGGAAAGGCCGAGGGGACAGGGGAGCCAATATTTGGAAGGATGTCCCATTGAGGAGAAAAGGGCAAGTTCTTCCTGCCTCTCTGGAGACAAATA